AAAATGAGAAGACTGATCCATATAAAATATCGTAGGGAAAAAATGAATAACAATCGGAATAAATTTTCAATTTTACATTGAATTCTTGTGTTTCAAACATTTTCTTTCTTTTTCCCAACCTCTTCTTAATTCGTGTTTGTCGTTTACATCTTTTTCACTAACGTTTCAATCCTGTCTATCCTCACGTCCTTCCGTATACACGTTCCATCTTTCGCATAATTCTCTGAACAGCTGTTCCCTTTCAACTTGCGTTCAGCAAGCTGTCTCTCCGTATTGCTTCCTAATCGTTGCTTTTACTCAACAATATCTTTTAAAATCGCAGAAGCAGAAAGGATAATTCTAGAAACTTTAGGATGTCAGACTTCGACGAGACCCTCCGCTACGGCGGCCCACAGGCAGACGAGCAGACTGATGTGAGCCGAAAACTTTTATAGAACATTCCCCAATTTCAATATACCAGTAACGTTAGCTGAAGGATTTAACTTTTCTAGGATGCCGCTCGCAAAGCTGAAGAGCGTGAGCGTAAGAAGGCCGAAGTACGAAAGCGACTGGAAGAAGCTGGCGCAAAGAAGAAGGCCAAGAAAGGTTTCCTCACGCCAGAGAGAAAGAAGAAACTTAGGGTAAATTACCCTATTGGAGTTGACTAACACAATATCCTACAGTAATCTTTACAGAAACTTCTTATGATGAAAGCCGCTGAAGATCTGAAACAACAGCAATTGTTGAAAGCACAAGAACGACAAAAGGCTCTTGCATCACGAATTATTCCATTACCAGATGTTGACAAGATCGACGATAAGGGTATGTTATTGCAATTGAAGAATATCCTCTTGAACTAATAGGGTTTAGGTTGCATTCTCAGTGATTAGGTTAAGTTCTTTGAGATTCGACCGAAAGCAGGAAAAATCGTTATAGGTCAAGTGTTGAGTTGTGATTATTTAAACCTTCCCACTTCTCCTTAATAGAATGGGGTTCTTTTTTTGAATTCCAGATCACCTTTTCTACTCATATGTGAGTTAGTTAAACAAAATTCCAAGCAAATCTTTCTATCCTCAGATA